TATATATATATATATATATATATATATATATGCTGGAACGCCTGTAGTGTGTTGTTGCAACGCACCCCCATTCGCCCATCTCGTTTCCACGTGCACTTACGCCTGCATGAAGTTACTTCAAGGCAGTCTCCATGAAGGAAATCCATTCACATGCCATCAATTCTTTGATGCAGCATAGATTGGCAACGCAGGCAAATGGAATTGATATGCTGCTTTCTCGCCTTCATTTTGTTGATTGTTTGTCTTGTTTGTTGCTGTTTGCGCTTCATTGCCTGTATCAGGACGGGCTTCTCGATGCCTGCGCTGTTTGGCATGCTGCCGTCTTTGGGGGACGATTGGGAGGCTTAACTTCAACTCAACGAAAGCGGACGTCACTTTTGTGTGTATTTAATGAGTTAGACAGACAGTGCAGGAAACACTCTGCATCTGGCCGCTTCAGTATCCGCAGCAGCATGATGCAGCATCAGTAGCACGATGCCGCAGTAGGAGCATGCAGTCTCCCCGGCGGTTACACTTTCTTTTTTCTCGCTGGCTGTCCCTGCCGTTGGCATGTCTTCTTGCCTTTGGCATGTCTTCCCGCCCAACGTCCCTGCCTGTGTTTGAAGAGGAGCACCGAGCAGGCAAACGGGGACAGGGAAAGAGAGACTTTATAATAGTAGAGGCACGCCAAAGCCGGCCAGAAGCGCTCGTAGATTTTTAAGCCACAAATGAGACGAACGAAATCAACCAGGAGGACGACGAAAATTGCCATCGGTCTAGGGTGTAGGGTGTAGGGTGTGTGCGCGGGCCCCAACTGTGCATGGGCAGTACAGGTGTAACCATTGGGGAATAGGCAGTTCAGGACCAACCTTTGTTGCTCCAGCATTTGCTGTATAGTTGTGTGCTATAGGAGATACGTATATGGCAGCATATATTGAACCACTGGAGCCCATTTCGGCCCCTTTTATTCTCTTATCTGCTTACGAGACAGCAGGCGGAACAGAAAGGTGGACAGAAACATCGTTGCCTCTTCGCCCCCCGCGGAGGCTACAGGGCAGCTCTAGTTTAGGGCTGTTGCTGTTGTGCTGCGTATATTGTAGGTTTCGGGGTAACTAGGCGTTTGCGTTTATGGTTGGCTTGGCGTGCACAGAGAGCTCCTTTAGCACGTGCTGCAGTTCGTCCAGGCGTTGCTGCAGTGTCTTCACTTTCTGCCTGGATATCCACAGCACCCCCCGGTGTCTATGGCCGCACGAGTTGCTCTGGGGGGTACTGTTTCTCTGCGTGTCACTTCCTGTCCTGCTGCTGTTGTCTTCTTGTCTGTCTCTCATCTTGTCTCCTTGTCTGTCTCCTTCACTGCTACATGAAGCCGCCGCAGGCAGCGGCGGGAGGCCCGCGAGCTCCGCCCTCTTCAATAGTTGCAGCTGCAAATTGAAGTGCAAAAGACAAAACAAACCCAAGAGAAAAACACAGCCCAAGGCATACAGCTGGGATTCAAACGCACGGAAACGAATCTTAGGTTCAACATTCAGTAAGAGGGTAACAGAAAGGAGTTAGAGTTGCTTGTAAGCTACCCAAGCAACTCCTCTAGCTCCCGATGGGTCTCGTTCTCCGCTGCCTGAGCTTTCGATGCAGGTAATACAGAAACGAATTTGAGTGCAGCCACTTGTTGGAAGAATTAGACGCGGCGAAGTAATAAACCCTCTCACCTGCTGCAACAAGGGGAGGCCTGTGTCCTTTCCCGTCAGGGATATTCTCAGCAACCGCAGCAGCTCTGCCTTGCTTATCTGGAGCTGCAGCAGCAGCTGCTGCTTCCAGATTTCAAACTGCTGCATGATGTCAAGGTGCTGCTCTGGATGGTGCTGTATCCTCTCGTACCCGTCTCCTGCACACTCTTCTGGACCAGTACAGACAGTAGAGAGACCTGCAAACAGCTCGCGCGACTTAAGAACCGCGGCAGCGACGCCTCGAAAGGCAGCCAGCCCGCCATACACCGCAGCAAGGCCTTGGTGGTCCCCAAGGGCATCCACCACTTGGAGTGGCCCCCCCGTAAGGTATTCGCCCAGGGCAGCAACAACAGCAGCAGGCACTATGTGCTGTGGCAGCACCAAACGAGCAGCCAACGATATGAAATCAAACAAATGCTGGCTGCACCCATGAATATCCGAAGAAACGGGCGCCTCCCGCTGGATGCTCTGCAGAGCAGGTGCTGCTGCTGCATGTTGAAGGGAAACCGCAGCGCCTGGACAGCCATCTGAGGCCATTGCGATAATTTGTAAGAAGAAATGCACCAGCGGCTCGGCATTGGGGCTGGCTGCCAGCTGCGCGCAAACCATGAACCACAATAACCACACTCTCAACACTACAATCCAGGCTTTGGCCTCCACTGGTTCAGTGCGATGTTGAAGGCAAATCCATAAAAAGCAGTCTAAACAATACCCCCCCAAGCTGTCCGCTGCAAACAGCCGTAGCAGCAGCAGTGGCAGGTGAAGCAGTAAGAAACACCCCAATCTGTCAGCTGCAAGAGCTGCAGCAGCGCCAGCAGCAACAATGGCGGATGTTCCGCAAGAAGCTGAGGTGCTACAGCTCCTCGCAATGTCACACGCCTTGGACCAGTAGTAGCAGCAACAGCAACCAACTGCCCGATCACCTGCCGTATCTTTTGCTTGTGTGCAAACTTCAGATGAACGTCATCGAAACAAAAGGCGCTTTTGCCCACCGCGCTCAGCCAAGACGGCCTGTCGCTGAGCATCACATTGAAAGCGCAAAACCGTACACCCTAAATGCTGACTTGGTGCGCTGCGAGTGTCTCTTGAGTTGTGCTATGTGGGTGTTTAGAGACATTTCCCTCTGGTTGCTGATGAAGTGTCAAACCAGAACACAGCCAAGTGGAAGTGCCTCCACTGAGGTGTGTGCGAACCTCTGCTTCCCCCCATCGTTGGTGTGGTGGCCCCTTAAAAAGTCCACGACGGCCTCTGGATGGTACCCGCGCAGCCGCATGCCTCGAATCGTGTAGTCACTGCTGCTGCTACTGCTGCTCCTGTTGCTGCTATTGGTGCTGCTGATGGCAGGCTGCTGCTGTCTGCGCTTGCTGATTTTGCCTCCCTCTTTCGCGACAATGACTGGCAGATGGCAGAAGAGAGGCACAGGGGCACCCAAGGCCCGAGCAACCAGTATCTGCCTGGAACACAAGCAGCCAAAACCCTAAATCCTAAGCCCTAAACCGCCCAAAGCCATATCCTGAGGAATTCCCGAGAACGTGACTTCTCCAGAATTAGGTTTTGCCCAGTGTTATTTGCTGCCTCTTGCATTCCTAGGAACTAGACCCTCTTCCCTCTACTCTGAAACCTAAGCTCACGCCACGGTGTTTGGGATGTGTTCTTCTCCCCGGACGACGGCAGTCACTCCCATTAGCCAGTCATCGACGGCAGCGCAGAAGTTGTATACGGGTATTCCCCACACAGCTCCTTCTTTGGTGGCACTGGGGCCTTCCACAGCCTCCTCACGAGAACCTGCAGCACCGGCGACCCCCAAAGATGGAGCACCTGCTGCATCTCTGAAGCAAACAAAATCCCCTGCAGTCTGCTGCACTGAGAGCCGCACGAAACCCCTCACGAGGTCCGTAAAACAAACCGCCTCAGGCTCCGCCGGTGTCCTGCACCGAAACAACAGCAGCAACAGCAGCGGACGGTAAGAGCAGCCATCCGTGCCACGGACAGGGGGCGACCTTCCGACGGTCAGCAAATAGAATAGGCGCCTTTCGAAGCATACAAAGAGACACAATGGAATGCAGCTATTGCTACTACAAGAACTATAGCAGCAACAAGTCAGCTGTACTTGAATCTGAGGGTAAAGGGCCTCCCCGCTGCAGCAAACAATTCTGCCTGCTGCGGATCCAGCGAACGACACTTTCCATCATATCGGGGGGGCAGGCCATGCTGCGTACACTGCAAACACAGCGCAGCGAAGCGTACGCCCTAAACGCTAAACCCTATGCGCTAAACTCTTGACGGTAATCGCAAACGCAACACCCGTGCCACGCCGGGGCTGCTCAACACTAGCGATGCCCGCAACAACAGGGGGAAAAGCAGCAGCAAATGCAGTAACAACACCAGCAACAACATCAGGTGCAGCAAGAGCAGCTTTTGCAGGAGAAAAAGCAGCAGCAGCTGGTTTAGCAGCAACAGCACAAGAACTGGGCACAGCAGGAACAGCGGCAACTGTTGGCATACCTCCCGACGCAGCTGCAACAGTCTCTCTCTGCTGCAGAAGCATTTGTACAGCAGTCCTTTATCCAGAAGCCGTCGTCCCTGCTGTCTGTCGAGCCCAAATCACCAAATTAACAAAAGGAAGAGCAACAGCACGTGCAACGGCAACAGCGTGAGGAGACCCACCCTGAATCTTAGCTGCGACTAAAGTAACCCGGAACACCAGCAGTATCAATGACAACTGAAAGCAGCAGCAGCACCACCCATACAGGCAACAGCAGTCACGTTGCGTGTGCTTGAGTTGGAGGCCTTACTGATATATTTCTAGCCTCTCGGACTGCCTATAAGGACCCCTGGAGCCACCCACATCTGGGCCCTCCTCCCATTTGATGCCTAACCACCTGAAACAAAATAAAAGCCCAAACCTTAGACCCTAAACAGAAAGCCCTAAACCCTACACATAGCCCTTGAAGGATCAAGAAGGATGTTGCAACAGCGTCTCACTGGAGGTCTTCAATGAGAGCCGCTTCCATCTGCCGTTGGCTGCGGCTTGCGTCTGTATCATCGATCCTTAGAATGAATCTGTCTCCTTTGTCTCTCCCTCCTTCGCCCCGACCCTGCAAAGCCCTGTTGCCAGGGGAGCCGCCGGTGGCCCCCTTGTGAAGACGGTGGTCCTGCAGGAGCCCATAGTTAAACAGAGCAGTGCGAGCCCCGCCCACGTGAAGCAGGCCTGTGGGACTTGGGGCAAAACGCAAAACAAGGGGGGGCCCAGGAGGATATGCGCAGCCGCTGGCTGTTGCTGCTGCAGCGGCGGCTTCACATATGCAAGCGCTTGCCGATACACCCAAACCTCGAATACTGCCTCTCCTCTTGTCGCATGTGCTCTTCTTTATTTTCTTGTCTTTCCTGCTGCTGTCTACGGAAGACTCAGCACTGTTGCTGATGCTGCTGCAGCTGCATCTGCTGCTGCTGCTACGTTTCGTGCAACGACAAACTGCTGGATATCTGCAGCGTTGAAAGGCAACATGAGTAGGGCGACACCTATGTGTTTTTGCCACTGCAGCACTGTCTCCCGAGGCGGCAGCAGCAGCATGTGCATCATGCGGCGTCTCGCCAGCATTCACCAGTCCCCGAAGGCACTTATCTACAAAACAGGGAGGAGCTCGTTTCAGGCACACACTCCACCTGTCTTCACCGCAAACAGCAAGCCGAGTAGAAGAGCCTACGTTTGTGAAGGCTTGCAAGTGAGATTCTCTGGGATCCCCCTTGGGGGCCCCATTCAAAGCCCAAGTTGGGGGCCCCGTGCGGGCCCTCAGCAAAGCTGTGGTCGTGAGGCATCGTTCCAGGCTAATAATCAAGAAGAGTGTCGCAAGTACATGCGCTGACAGGGTTCGCGTTTTCATCTTTTGGCGGAGTGGCATGTGAAGGGAGGGAGGGGCCCCCGGGGGGCCCCGAGTCCACTACCAGGGCGGGACAACAGTTTAACTTTGTCTTTATATATTGATTTTGGTCACTAAAAATGTTTGTATACCTCGAACTGCAGGCGGATAGACAGATGGTGCAGCAATAAGCATCATCAGTTGGGCCCCCTTGACCAGGAAAGACCTGTGTTGGGGCCTTTGCACTGGTGTCTTGCATGGCATGCCCTTGATAGTGTAGCATGCATAAACAAATCCATATTCTCATATGCATCCATTCAGTAATATTGTCACACGAACAAATTTTGAAACGTAGCTTTGCAGCGGAAGTCGCGGAACAGCACCAGCGTGATCAGAACGCAGTAAGAGCTCCTAAATTATGACCATTTTTCTAAGATGAATATTTCTTAGTAATAAAAATGATGACAATTTTGTTGGAGTAGTAATAACAACATTGTTATTCTTGTTGCCATTGTTGCCATTATTAATGACACACCGCAGAGTAGAATATTAGTGGCGAAAGTGTCTGTGGAAGGAGCAGACGTCACCAAATCGTGTGTTACAAACAGGCTAACCTGCAGCTGCACAGCGTTCTGAATAAAGGATTGTAGGGATGCCTTTTTATTAAGGTAAAGGGCCTAATAACTGAAACCAAGGGTACGATTAAACACAGCATTCTATTGCAGGAACCTCTGAACACTATATCCTTATCAACCGAAGAGGGTTCGGGCGTAGGCAGGCGTTACATAGAGCTGGACATTCTGTTCAGAAAACTGGTTAATTTCAGCCAGCAGCCAAATATGCGGAAGTTTTGTCCCCCTGGGTCTAGGTAGTCGCGCTCTCTACCTGAAGGTGCTGCAGCACCAGCAGCCGCTGCTGTTTATTTTGCAACAGCAGCCGCTTTTATTTCTATCGTCTTTTGGACTTGTCACAGCAGGTGCTGAAATCGATACCGTCAATCTATTCTCAATAGGCTGCATGCCATTCCATTTGTGTCTGCTGTTTGCATGCAGCAGCTGCTTGCCCGCAAGAGCATCCGTCACGGACACTTGACGAACCAATATAGCCACAGCTAGCTAGCCACAGCCAGGCCGGGAGCTAGCTGGCAGGCATAGGGAGGGCTGGGTAGCACGCTAGCCAAAGGTAGGCGCTCATGGTAGGCTCATTGGTGGTACACTCACGCGCTGCAAGCAGTACTGTCGGTGAGCGGCTTTCGTCTGTTGCGCATTGCTGCAGTGAGGAAAGAAAGAGTGCCCAAATTCGAGGCGAAGGTCGCATGCAAGTTGGCGTGCTGCTGCTGCAGCTGCCGCAAAAGGAGCAAAAAGAGGGTCCTCAGATCCACAGAAATGCCTTCAGATGCAACAGCACACGAACAAATCACAGGACAGAAACAGACCACAAATATATACACATGATGCTGCATGCACACGCAAGCTGCAGCAACAACTCCGGTGCACGTGCACCTCATTACCCCACCACTCCCGCATGCACGCGTTTCAGTTGAGCCTTAAGGGGAACAGGAGAACACTAGCCTCCCACATCCTAGAGGGTGTGTTGTTTCGGGTCGGTGGCTTACGGGAAAGGCGGGTGAAGGACTCCGCTCTGCTATGGTCTGCGCTGCCACTTTTATCAGCGTTTGTCTCCGCCCACAGCCTTCCGAGTTCGCCTAAAGCGCATCACAAGGAATACAAGAGGGCGAAGACACAGAGAAGCTATATAATGGGAAAAGCAACCTATACAGAAACACTACAGGCCGGATTCAGCAAAACGAAACGAGATGCCAAGGATAGTCAGAAATGATCCTCTAAGAATTGCCACGGTACTGCTAAATCCTAGGGAGAAGATAATGCAAATTACAGGCCCCTTAGCAGATCTTGCTGGTCGTATCCAGCCAGTACCTAACCGTAGCTACACGATAGCCAGCAGCAGCTAGCCACCAGCGCAGCTAGGGAACACTCTGCCATGTATGGCTCCCAAGAGGATAGCGCCATTAGAGCTGCACGCCTACCTAAACATTCGTGTTCAGGTTCTACGTGATAGCTTGAAACGTACCCTGGAACACGTGCATGCGGAGTTTGAGAAGGCAGCTCAGCCAGAGAAGGTGAAACTGCAGGTGCCGGGTGCCAACTTGAACATCTGGAGACAAAACTGTCTGCAAGAAGAGGAGGAGGGAAGGTAACAGAGCAGGAGACAAACTGCTGCAGACGAGGGGGACTGAAGAAGCCGGAATCTTTTCGTAAACGCACAACAGGGTCGGCAGGTTGTTGGCCACCAGAGCAAAGAGGAATGCCTGAGGTAGACATAGATCCAGCGCAAACCCCAGAAGCTAAGACAATTTTAAAGGTCCTACGAATGCAGCAACAAACATTAATGCAGGGGAAACTTTCTCATGAGAGAGAGGATAACAAGAAAGACGACCACAGAGACAGACAGACGCCGTAGGAGATAGTCACAGCAACACAAGTCCGGTGTCTACACACCTTGGCGAACTCCTCTTTTGCCAGCGCCTTGGATATGTTGCTCATCGTCACATTTCGCGTTAAGAACGGCAGCGTTGAGCCTAACTCCGTGATGCCGTAGTTCCCAATAAGGCCCCCCTAAGCAAGCCCCAAAAGAACAACATGGTCTAAACACTGAACCCGAAGCTCGAGAACCCGCAAAACCCGGCCCTAACCCGTAGAACTCCACAAGGCTTCCTCTAACATAATAATATTTTACATATACAGAAGAGCATTGAATGTGCAGCAAAAACGTTATATACAGGTCTGCCTTCGAGGCTGTCTTGTTGAATTTTGCAGAGGGTGTGCCTGTGTGCCGCCCACTCTACCTGCAGATCTATGCTGTATATGTAGAGCCCGTGAGATGTGGCGACCGCGAAGGAACGGCTGTCTCCCGAGAACGCGACAGCATGCACTAAGAAGACTCTGTCGTTCTTCGCAGCTAAGTCCCCCATCATGACACCTGGCAGACTTCGGTGCTGCGCAGGAAGGGAACGCAGAAGCAGGCTGGTCGTTATGACATCGATCTGCAGCAGCTGCAGCTGCTTGTGCAGCAGCGTCACAATGAGCTCGTGGACAATACAGACCAACGCATCTTAAGGCGAAAAGAACGGGAATGGAATCAAAACAGTAAGCATCAGGCATTTATCCAGAGAACCGCGAACGCTTAACGACCGCAGGAGCATTAGAACCCTAAACCGTTGATCCTATAAGCTAAAACCCAGGGTCGTACAAGTTGGTTTGTGGGCTCACACTGCGAATTCTCTTCCTTTCTCTCTCCCCTTCATTAAAATTGTCTTCTTCGTCTGACAAGTCGTATTCCTGGATAGGGGTGCCTGCAGAGCAAAATGGCCCCCCCTACACACCATATAGACCCTAGCCCCTAAGTTGTTCTGGCTGAATTACGCTGCACGCGTTCGATGACCGTGTGGTGGGAGGTGCTTGCCTGTGTTGCGGATAGCGGTTTGTGCTGTTTCTGGCGTATGCACAGCTGGCGCTGGGTTTGTACATACCATCGTCTGCAATGTATTTCGAGTTAAGTTCGCGGAAAATGCCTTCGAGGAGACAGTTGGAAGTCAAAAGGAAGGCAGCTGTCAGGGTGCCAGCCTCGATGTCGTATAGGAAAACTTTGGGACAGTGGAGACTGCCAATTAAGAGAGAAGAACCCGAAGGCGAGAAGCACAAAGTGGACACGCTGCAGTTCAAATCTAAGCCCGCCATCAATCCCATTACCCTCTGCATGCAGAGACAGACGCCGGAGAAGAGAGAACGTGCGGCGGGTAAGAACACGAAGAACACGCTAACATACAAAAACAAAACACGGCAAGAATGCCGTGCAGTCCTTGCCCCCAAAACGCCAAACAAACAGTTCAGGCGGCATTCAAGCAAGAATGCCCACAAAACGCAAAATGCAAATGCTGGAGAGACGCACAGAGAAGGCAGCACGACAACGTCCCCCTAAAGAACACAAAGATGGCTACCAACAGAAAAGACAGATATGCAGGGAAAGACACAAGTCGAAAATGAAGAAAACAACAGTTAGATCAGATGACGATATAAGACGCTGGGCAGCGAAAGGCGAAGGCCATAATAGGACAACTGCTCAACAATGACGCAGAAGCACAAAGCCAAACGCCAGAAAAGCAGCTGAACGTGAGATACAATGTTGATCCAAAGGGGAAGGAAAGATGCTCCAACCGAAGACCTTGATAGGTGATAGGCATAAATAAAATGGCACAGCTAACAGCAAACACGAACGCCGAGGCCAAGAGCAAAGACAGACGGAAACAATGCATATCCTTCTGTCCTCAAGCACAGCAGAATAACGTTTGCGCGTCATCAACATATCTAGGCACAGATTAGTGTTAAGGGTTTAGGAGGAAAAGTTTTACTTTCTTCTCTTTGGTAGCCCATGCGTTTTTGGCAACTCTGTCTGTGACACGCCTTCCTCCTTGAATATCTCTGAGGCACTCGATGGTGCTCAGGTTTCCCTCCTCTCCCCAGTCCACATCCCAAAGAGACACTTTGCCTCCGTCTCCCCCTACAGCCAGCATACCCCTGCCCTGAGGCTCAAAGGCCAGGCACTGCACCCCTCCGCTCTGCAGCAGCGTCTCTGGCGCCCCTCCTCGACTTCGCCGGCCCAGAATGTCCCACACCTAAGCACAGATCCAGAGCGCTAAAGACTAATAACTGAACCTTGTCTCTGCACCAAAACAACGGTTTCCCCGAGGCTCAAATGTACAGATGGAGAAGGTACAGGTGGGGTATATACACAGCAAGCACCACTTATGTCACCGCCTCACTTTAACGCTTTTGTCCCAACTGCCTGTAGCTAGCAGCCCCTGTCTGTCGGGATGAGGGTGAAATGCCACAGAGACAACGGGGGCTTCGTGCCCCGTGAGTTCTTCCAGCAGCTTCGCTGTCCGTACACTCCAAACAAAAGCAGAAAAACAGCTGCCCTGACTCCCCGCAACCAACAGCTCGCCCCCCGCATCAATGGCGACGCAGGTAAACTGCACGCCGCTGTCCATGGGGGCGCCTAAGGGGCCCGCTAGGGAGCCACCAGCGTCTAATGACCCCAAAGAAGCGTGGTTCGAACTGGCTGCAGTGTATACCCTGAGAACACGTATAGGACCATAATAACAGGACCATAATAACAGCATAACTATAACTATAACTATATATATATATTATATAT